TATGATCACAATAAATTGAGTTCAGTAATCAGGAAGAGGACCTTCTTGGTGGCAGTGTCTCATTATGAAAACATCTTTCAAAAGAACTATAATGCTGTCTTGTTTTAAAGGCGTGTTAAAGTCGTGTCCGTTATCCAGATATTTCTAGAGCACCAACTAACTGTTCTACAATCTGGCTGTTTTTCATACTGTATTTTCAAATTTATGCTTTTTTAGAATATTTGTTTGTTATTGTTCCATTTGATTGCTTTTAATAAATCAGCTGTTCCTTTTGCATATTGATTTGATCACTTTCATTGTACAAACATGCAGTACAATAATCCATAACAATGAATTGGAGAAAATTAAATATTTACACGGTCCTTCATCATGAAATGTTATTTAACAATTCAAAAAATATTTTCTATTGCTGTGGAAATTAACCAAATTATTTGTAAAAATCTTTACGTTTGTTTGAATTTTAGTCTTTATAGGTAATATTACTGTTGCATGGGAGATTGTAACATTTTCCACTGTTCCCATTGCTGGGTCTTTCTTTTCTAAGGTAACAAGAGGGCTGCCTTTCCACTCTAGGAGATATTTTGCACTCATTATATAGCAATAGCACTTAGACTTTCAAACCACTTCACAGTGCTTTATAGTCCTCTCTAAGCGATATAGAGTCAGCATCTTACCCTCAACAATCTGGGTCCTCATTTTACCAACCTCAGAAAGATGGAAGGCTGAATCAACCTTGAGCTAGTCAGGCTCAACCCCCCCTGGCAGTCAACAGAATTAGCCTGCAATACTGCATTCAAACCACTGCGTCACCACTGCGCTATATCTCAATATAGATAGTCCTCGAATTACAACAGTTCATTTAGTGACCATTTGAAGTTATTGAAAAAAGTGGTTTATGACCATTTTTCACACTTATGACCATTGCAGTATCCCCATGGTCATGTGATTCAGATGCTTGGCAAGTAGCTTATATTTATGAAGTTTGCAATATTCAAAGATCATGTGATCACTTTTTGCGACCTCCTGACAAGCAAAGTCAATGGTAAAGCCAGATTCAATTAACAACCGTGTTACTAACTTAACAACTGCGGTGATTCATTTAACAACTGTGGCAAGAAAGATTGTAAAATGGGGCAAAACTCACCTAACAATGGTATCACTTAGCAACAGAAGTTTTGGGCTTAATGGTGGTTGAAAGTTAAGGACTTCCTGTATTTCTGTCTACATATCTCTTCCTAACACCAGGTTTGAAAAGCTTGCCAATTATTTAAAAATATAAATTAATACAATATGTTTAACCATTGAATTAGTAAAAAGTATTTGGGAGTTACAACGCTTTAAAATATCAATAAATGTTTATAGATTGTGAGACAGTTTAATTATTTTTTGTTTTGTGAATCCAAAAAATTAAAATTAATTTGATTCAGGTAATTTTATGCTATTTCAATAAGCTTTTGCCCTTTGCTGCTTATATTCAAAAAATATTTTTTCCTCTGTAAGGTTTTTGAATTCATCTTAGAATCTGATAATTCCAATGAAACTCTGAATGTGAGATTACTGATAATCAGTTTTTATTTTCTGCAGAAAGGAAAAAGACTGGATGGCATTTTTGTCTCCCATCTTAACAGAGCAGGCAGAGAGAGAGAGAAAAACAGGCTTGAGCCTACTGTCGTCATGAAAATAAAACTTTTTGTCAAACTTCTTATAGTCTTACACAGCTTGCACAGATCATCATAGTGTTAGAAACATTATTTTATGTTACGCAAACCTCATGATTTTTCTCAGCGCACTGAAAACAATGGACCTTGGAAGAGGAAAGAAATACATTTTCTGGCATATAAGACAGCTTTTCTTAGGGAATGCTGAACACACATTTCAAGTTACAAGCAAGGTTGCTTTGCAGAATCCACTTTTTACTTTTCATAAGTAGTTACTTTACTAGGCTAAGCTTGGCAATTCGCCTAGAGGTTTTATCTATGAAGTTGGCTCGTTAGGTTACAATGGCGCTTCTCTCAACAGCAATTTAACAAAAGCTGAATTAGGTTACACTCTGTGTATGCTCTAATCCTTCAGGGATCATTTCACCTCATTTGAGGCAAATAATAACTTGCAAATGTCATTTGGATTGCATTTGCATTCAGATGGTCAAAAAACAGCTCGCTATTACCTGTAAAATCAAAGTAGAATCCATGGTTTTATCTATAGAGGACATGGTAAAGTATAGTTTGTCTCATACAAGGGACATAAAAATAGATTATTAGGTCAGACAGAGTAGGCATACATATGACTTTGTAAGTGTTTTCTGACGCTTTAAAATATTATGTACATTATCTTTCACTAAATCAGAAGACAGCAGACTAATCAGAAGACAAGTGCAGCAACAGTTAACTTTTCATAGTAGAAGTATTATTTCCCAGTATTTGTGAAATAATGATCTATTGACAATTTTCAGCCCTTTACCAGTAGTCCTAATATCAGGAAGGCTTGAAAGGCATCAAATACATGTATCTCTTTTCCAAATGCAGGTAATCCTTGGGTTAAGATGGCCGTTGGGAGTGTTCTTGCCATCACTAAGTGATGTCATAAAGCACAATGTCATTAACTGCATCATTTAGCAACAGCAATACTGGCAGTCCCACTTGCCATTGTAACCCTAGGACCAAATAATTTTTAAGCAGGTGGGAGTCCTAAGCAATAAGCACAGAAGACTGTGTGTTGTGGGGGACAGAGGTGAGCTACAGAGATACAGAGTGTAAGCAGGTCGGGGGGGTGGGGGGCTGCAAGTAGGTGTTATACAGCATGGGTGGGGCTGTGAGCAGGATGGTTGCTATGGGTGAACATGATTATGGAATGTAGATGAGTGTAGAAGCTACACAGTGTGAGATTCTTGGGATCTTGCACCCTGTAGTAGGACTCCTTGGGAGGAAAAGTGGCAGGAGCGACTCAACTTCCCTGCCAGCTTCCTCATTGAGTTTGCTTGTGGAAAGCTACCAGGGAAGGTCACAAATTGTGATCATATCACTATGGGACTCTGTAAACCTTATAAGTGCAAGGTAGTTGCCAAGTGCCTGAATCACAATCACTATCACTGGGTGGTATGAGCACTATTTATAAGTATTACTCATTCACTTCATTGTAACTTTGAATGATCACTGTAAAAGGATGCCCATAGTGGTGCATTAATTGCTAAGATTATTTTTAGGTACAGTAATATGAGCGTGGCTATCTCTGATAATTTTGAGAGTTTCCCCCTATCTGGAGGATATCTACATTGAGACAGCCAATCCATAGAATTGGAATATCAAGAAGCAAGAAATTCTAAACATGTTAGACAATTTATTTCACCTATAATTAGATATTAGTTTACTTAGAAAATTGGTTTGCTTTCCTTCCATAAGATGAGTATATTTGAGGTACTGAGGTATTTGAAACTATTTCAGTTTTTTTCATTCAAAAAACTGAAAATGATCATTTCACTTTGTGTTCAGCAAATCTAAGGGTATTAGAATAAATGTAGACTCATCTAACAGACTTACATGTGATATCATCATACATATGTAAAAAGATTTGTTATTAATTCACTCATCTGCATATTGTAGAACTTTCTAAAATGAGTAAGGTAAGCTTCAGTTTTTATTATCACCTAAATTCAACTAATTTGGTTGTGGTTAGGATAAGCCAGATCTTCTTCCTTTGAGTTGTATTTAAAAAAGAAAAATGAAATAGTTACATTTTGAATCCCAATAAATAGATTTTAATAACAAATCTTTTTACATATGTATGACGATATCCACATGTAAGTCTGTTAGATGAGTCTATATTTATTCTAATACCCTTAGATTTGCTGAATACAAAGTGAAATTCTTATCATTTTCAGTTTTTTGAATGAAAAAACTGAAATAGTTTCAAATACCCCAGTACCTCAAATTTCATGGCAACTCCATGTGCTG